TTTTTTGTCGGTGTGTTCGAATGATTCTTTGTTGTTGGGTGGGATGACACACGATGAATCTGTCTGATTCGAATTGTTGTCGCCTCCTTCTGTATTATCCTTCCTTTCCTTACTTCTTATGGCGCTATTGCCGGATGAGAACTTCTTTCTTCCTGTCCTTCCAATATCTCCGTTAGTCTTAAGCGATCTTTGAGCGTTTACTCTCCACGTCTGTACTCCTTGCGGTACCGTCCTCGAATGCCTTTGTCTTGTCCTCCTTGTCCTCAGGGTAATTCGAACCTCTTTTGTTCCTCCGTTCCCCGGAAGTGGTCATCCCACCCAAGGGACAGGGATTAAAATAGGAAAGTTCTAGAAGGGGATAGAATAATAGAACAAAGGATAGCAGGAAATAACTAAACTAACTTAACTTAATAAATACAACATATGGCGTACGACTACACATACACATGTCCAATATCCAATAGAACATTTAGGTTACTTATTTTGCTTCTACACAAGTCCCCAGTCCTTAACTATAACTGATTTAGAACCAACATGCACTGCACATTATTCTTTGCATTGCAAAATGACATACGCATAAGTCAGGAACTTCTGTTTGAACAAACCTCACCTGCCATCCAGGTTAGCGAGTTTAAAAAGGTGGCAACACTAGCATGGAATTTTTCATTACTTATTCTGTGACGAAACTGAATTTTAGTCTTTTAAATTGCGATACCTAAATAAGGGGATGGCAAAATTTTCCTTTGCCTCAGGTGGCTGATACCCACGCTATGGCCACTGTAACATATACCATAGTGATTTGTTTTTTGAAACTGTGTCCTGTTTTATAATTGTGGCATAGTAAACACTCAACTAATAAAGGAATTTGATGGAAAACTTGCCATGTGTCTTTGGAATAAAACACAATACTAGTGTTTACTACGTCACAAATATACCATAGTGTTGAGAGCCTGCCTGAACAGTGATGTACCATCAAATAGCCCCTTATAAATCTTCCTTGGATTAGTGCTTCCTTAATTGGACTGCTGCTCTAAAAATACTGCCAACATGGTGGTCAGTTAAACATATTGCTCTGTTATTTGGTTGTCTTTTAACAGGAGTCCTGTTAATGTAAAACATAGAAGAAAAATCAAGAACACAAAAGAGTACACTCTTATGCAAACTGCTCCATTATCTGATGCTCTACTAAGTAGACTTGACTGTAATAAATTTTCAATGAGCTCTCTTAATTCTCTCTTCTTAAAATCATTGTGCATAGGAAAAGAGTTGTTTTAATTGCTGTTATGCTATAATTTTATAATTTATTAATAAATTATATGAACAAATCAACAAAGATCAAAAACATTAAAACATTAAATTACATTCTTAAAGTAAACTGGAATGCAAAATGATTGTGTAATAAAACAGATCTTTCAATTTCCAGCAGTATTTTAATATAATAATATAGAACTTCTAAGTTTGTAATTCTACATTTGTTCAGTTTTATTTAAAAAAATGCTTATTTATGTATTCTATTAAGTCTTAACCAAGGAAGACCTATGAACAGGTCGAAAACATTTTTATTGTATTAAAATACTGCTGGAAATCAAAAGATGTGTTTTATTATATATTAAATTATATTAAAACTTGTGATTTGTTGATATTTCATAGCACAATAATGTAGAGATAATTCTTTACACTATACATTCTAATAGTGGTTTTGTTTTATATATGGTAATTCATTTCTTTTGCACTTTATAAACAGGTAATAGCTTTCTCTGCATATGGACAACTGAAAAGGACTCAGATATTACAAATATAACAGATGATGCGGCAAAATGTGCACTTTCCGTAGTAAACGAATATGGAATGAATAAAACATATATTGAATCAAAACTGTTTATCAAATTCGGTAAAACTTAATAAATTTTTTATTTATTTTAAAATATTGAATATATGTAATTAATTTATCATTTCAGGTCTTTCTGTTGGAAAGTTTTACTTTTTATTAGGAGGAAAATTGAATGAATATATAGATTTAATAATTACTGGTCCAGCAGTATTGTCTGCTCAAGAAGCACAATGTTTGTGTTTGTCAGGAGAAGTAATTTTGACTGCTGCTGCTTGGAAAAATCTAAATCACCATCAATCTACATATCATGCTATTTATTTAAATGAAAACAAATATGTAAAAATATTAGTTAGTAGATTTTTAATAAAATATATAAAAATAATCACTTTAAAAATAACAAAAAGAATATTTTTATAGTTTTTTTTAATTTATTATTTAATTTGAATTCAGTTAAAAAATCAAGAATTAAAAAACAATGAAATTACACATAAAGAAAAATATGAAACTAAAATAGAATGCTTAAGAAGAAAAAGTAGAAATGGGGAAGAGAAACAGATTAATTTAGATAAAGAACATGACAAAGAAGCAACTTCACAAGAAGAAGAATCTAAATTTAAATTGTTAAATAGTACAGAATCTAAAATTAAAGATGACAGTATTAAAATAATAAGATCTGAGTACATAGAAGAAGAAGAAATAAAATATGAAGAATTACCAGAGATAAAAATTACAGAAAAAAGAAAACAAAAACGTATGTATATTTTTAAACTAAATTCTGTAAAAATATTTAAATCTTATTATTCCATAATGCTTCTAAATGTTATATCTTTATCTTATGAAATGAGATGGATGGAAAAAAAATATTCATATTTTTTGGTTTTGTAAAGGGGTTTTGTAAAGTTTGATGGTTTATAAGTATATAAACCATCAAACTTTACAAAAAATTATGAATTCATTTACTTTTACAAAAAATGTTGAAAAACAATTAAGAATTAAGTAACTTTCACATCTTATTGAGTTTAGAATTAAGAATAGAAAAAATGTAAATTGTTTTCTTTGAATATGTTTGCCATATGCAAAATAAAACTTTTTTTTAATCTTATAGAAATATTAAACAAAATGTACTAAAAATTGTGGCTAAAATAAAGTATTTGAGTTAATGTTTTACATCATTTAAATAATAAATAAAGAATTGAATATTTTTAAAATCTATTTGATTGCTTGTCTTAGTGTTGTAATTATATTTTAAAAAATAACCAAAAATAATTAATTTTATATGTAAGTAAATTAATTTGATTTATTAATTTTTATGAAGAATTATTATTATTATTATTTTCATGGCATGCCATGCTGATATATTATTTAAAAGATACAAATCATGTTTATTTTATTATTGATAGATCATTATTTTGTTCCGTGATAACAGAGATATGAAAATACTTTCTAGAAGTATTTTTCAAAGAAAAACATTATTATTATTTTTATAGTCAATGATAAATATATTGTTTTTTAAAAAATATAAAAAATTTTAACTTTTATAAATTGATTAGTGAATGAATACTAGCATAGTTAGGTTATATGATTGGCCACAGTTACATCAGCTATGGGCAACCTGACTCACAATTGAATTGACCATCAAGGATTAGAAATTGGAACTATGTACTAATTTATATTGCCCATGATGATAAATCATTGAGTTCTGGATTAGATTTGCCTGTCATCATGGGAATCTGGATGAGCCCAGATTCCCATGATGATAGGTGACACCTTACTGTTAAGAAGTATAGAATCATAAAGAAGTAATATATAATACAAGTTTGTAGTTAATATATAAAATAATACTCTTATAAAGAGAATTATCATCATTTATCATTTATATTTTTAAATTTGTATTGTGTATTACATTCTATAAGATATATGGGCTCATAAGATGCATTCCCATTTTAGTACACAATATTTAGAATAAAGTATTTAGTGAATTTAAGCCATCCCACATGGTATGACATAAATATATAGTAACATGTATAAGTGTTTAGAAAAGGTTACTGCTTAACTTTGAAGATTTATATTAGTGTGATGACTGACTGATTGATAATCACCTCACATTATCTAATATTTACAATAATTCCATTTTAAATAATTAAAGTTAATAATAATAATAGTATGTTTAATTAAACAGTAATATTTTTATTCAAGAATTGGGCTACACTGTTACTGTAGTCTACTGATGGCCATTTGGGAAATTTATTAGGCTACAGGAGATTGCAACTTTATACATAAGATGCAAGGAAATTTTTTCTTTTTTGACAAAAGTTGCAACTTATATACCATAAAATACAGTAATTTTACAACAATGTCTTAATTTGTAAACATTTCATGTTTTCTGTAATATCTGGCATGTATCTGATATTATATAAAATGCAAAATTGACATTAAATTGAGCTATGACTAAATATGTGTAAATAAGATTTATGAAATATGTATTGATACATTTATAATTTTTTTTAATAACGATTATGACATGTAAAACATATTTTCATGATGGCATTGTGCCATATTAATCAGATTATTTAGGATAACTATTTTTGAACAGTATATCATATTTATCATTACACTTTTAATACTGGGTGATTGTGATTAAAGTATTTTCATTCAATACTGTCTACTGTATCACCAAAGTCTATATAGTACAAGTGTACAAATAAAATTTTTGTTGCTTGCAGTGCCAAAAGTGTTAAAAGTACTATAGTTGTAAGTTTTTCAAACTATTTTTTTTATGGAAATGTCTTCCACATGTCCTGAAATGATTCCATACCAGATTTTGGTTGTACAAGTAATCGCTGTATAACATGGGAGTTACGTTCCAAAAAATTGCCGTGTTATGCAAATCCGTGTTATACGAAACAAAGAACTAGTGCAAAAAGGGGGGTTAGGTTACAAAAATTAAAAAACATGTTGTTAAATTTTTTTTAAATGGATTTATTATTTATGTTTTTTATGGGTAAAATACTTATTTATGATTTAAGTAAATATTTTACCAGAAGATTATTCATCCTATATGATGATCTCAGCATGAGCATTATCAACTGGTAACAGTTTTTGGGTGCGTTTGTTAATAGCGGTTGCTTTGCGTCTCCACTACAATGGGAGTGTGCTTCTGTTTGTAGGCATTTAGGAATGATGGTGAAAGAAAGAAAGATGGTGGTGCCCGCACTATTAATAGTATTATGATGGAGGAATTTATAATTCTAAAATATGAGCTTTTAGAGGCAAAAGAAGGGTCCCAATTGTAAAATTTAACCATTGAATGGATTATTTGTTAAAAGAGCATTCAAAGTTACCACAAAAAAAATTAGAATGCTAGCACGGAGGTATAAAAGAACACACCCTTTATTACATTTCATGTTGTACGAGGGTTTTACCCAATTCCCAAACTGTGTTAGAGTGAATCTGTGCTATAAAAGCACCTTGTTGTATGGGGATGTTCCCAATTCTCGAACTGTGTTAGAGTGAATCTGTGCTATAGAAGTGCCGTGTTATATGGGGGTTACCTGTATTTAGACTTCTAAATATCTCTCTAGATAGCATCGAATAGGGTATGTTAATTATGATCATCTGGTATGTGAAACAAAATTTTAATATCGATCATTTTTAAATTTAATAATTCCAGATAAACAGAGAGAATTCATAATACAATCTTGCACAAAACAGCATTTACCAATTATTGGAGCTTTTGTGACTTCTGTAGTTAAATTGGTAAGTTAGATGTATCATTTTTTGATTAAATTTTTAATTAGTAAGTCATTTTTATGCTTTTAAGAAATTGCCTTAATTGAATAATAAAATTATATGATGATTTAATTTTTTCTAAAGTTTAATGAGAAAGCCATTATAATGCAACAAATGGTGTTACAATAAGTAATTTTAGTTACAACACTAAATAATGTTGTAACTAAAATTATTTATTATAACACTATTTGTTTAATGTTTAATTGAAAATGTTAGCACTATTTTTACATTATGGCAGTAATAATTATTATATAAGAATTATGTGTGAACTTTTAATATATTATTTTATATTTAAAATAAAAAATGCATACAAACATAGTATGATGATACTATATTTTCACAGATTGCCCAGCATGTTGGTCTATCCAGAGGAGACCATGAAATCAGATATTTCTGTATGGTAAAAACCAGCATGCCAGTTTATCCCGGGGGAATACCAACATGCTTGTTTAAGTTAGGTTATACATCACTCTCTACAGGGCACATTAAAAAACAAACAAGTTTTTAGTCTAAAACTGTGAAACTGTCAGCATTACATCAAAAACTACAATTATATGTTTAATTTCTTCATTTTATCTTCTTTCTAACAATGTAAAATATTTGTGGAATGCCGAAAATCATTTTTTTTATTTTAATATTTATTTTAATGTATTTTGATTCAAAAATGCAAAAATAAACATATTAAATTTTAGAAACTTGATGTAAATTATCTCAACTTACACCAATTTACATCTGCTTTGTGCAAAATTTGAGAGAAAGGTGTTATTTTTAAGGTCAACCTATAAACAAAAACTTTCTTCTTAATTTTAAGTCAGTCAAATTACAATGTTATTATTTTATTGTACTCCAAAGAATGCTTTCAACATTTAATTAACAATTAGTTTTGTTAAATTTGATTAATTTTATTTTTAGTCAAGTTTAGCTGGCATGCCAATAACCATGAGAATTCCGTCATGCTGGTCTCCCCCAGTTATATGCAGCATGCTGGTCAATCTGCAAAAATACAGTAAATTTAATTAATAAAATAATTTATTTATTACATATTTGAAAATGCAAATTTTAGTTTCCTTTTATTTCAGCATCAAAGCTTTTCAGCATCAGTGTTTCATTATGAGGGGTGCACACCCCTCATAATGAAACACTGATATACATTTTCAAATTTCCCGCAATCCATAGTCTTCCATTTGGCTTGTTATTGTCAGAATGCAACAACTGAAGTTGTTGATAAATATATCATTGATGCATTTATCATATTGTGTCATGGCGGTTTTTGTAAAGTTTTTCCATTACATAATAAAAAGTTGGTGCCATTGTTAACCCCTTGGTGAACCATTAGTCATTTATCAATGACCTCATTTTACTCTCCCCTTTTTAGCAATGACCTTTTATTAGTCAATCTCTGTAATCTTTTGTGTAATCTTTATTCTTTTGTCAAGCAAACTGTTATATGATTATAACCAGTTTTTCCACAATCTCCAGCAAACATATCAAGTCTAACTGTTACGACAGTTACCACTAACTAAGATGTTGGTATGCTATTAGGTGGCAGCAACACTGGAGAGAGGGGAGGAAATCCATGAACTTCACAGCAGATTTATTCAGCCACTGTCATTGCATGAACTGACATCATGGAGAGCAATCATCAAGGGCAACAGTAGATGACTTGGTTTCTCTGGAAAGAGGATGTGAGCATTGCAGAGAGTCGCAGGCAATTGGTGACAGTTTGCAGAGATCATGCACTGTCATGGAAAACTGTGTACTACTGGGTGGAAGGCTATATATTCATGACATGCTAACAGAAAAGGAAACTGGTTCTGAAAGGAAAGTGACAGTGACAATATCAACCAACATTGCATGATAGAAGCAGGCCATCCTGGAGAACTGGTGGATCATGTTCTCAGAAATGGAAGTGGCCATGGGACTCACTAGATTCACCCTGAAACACATTGTGCTGGAGATCATGCCTGATCCATCTTAAATATATTAAAATAGTTGCATTAAATTTTTTATATTTTTATAGAAGTAATGAAATTTACCTTTGATCTTATGTACCACATCCAAAATTTGAAATTAAAGTAAACTTGGTTGCTATCACCGGAACCTGCCCTACTACGCTCACATAACCACACCAATAAATATGCCCCTCTAGTAGAGGAAGTCCAGTTATTGGAGGTTAATCTTAAATATGCTCACATTCAGTACCCTGATGGGCAGACATCAACAGTGTCTCTAAGACACATTGCTCCTTGAGGTAAACCTTTTCCTGAATCCTCGAAAGATGGCACAGCCTTCTCTAATATTTCAGCCCAGATTCCTGATCAAGCTAGCTCTGATGTTCAGGCAATGCCTCCTCCACCTTGCGAGAGTGATTTGTATCCCTCCCAAGTAGAAGAAAAAGATATTTTCTCATCCCCACAGAAGTAATTGGGTTGCCTCGTCCTGCAAGGCAGCGCTGTCAGCCCAGTTATTTGAAGGACTATATTATGTAATGTAAGTAGGGGAGAATGTAGTAGTGTGGCAACACTTCTTTCCACAGTAGTTAGTCTCTCGGACTGGCAGCACTGTTTCTCGCTGCATTTGAATTTGTAACAGTCATGCGTTTCAGAGACAAATAAAACCTTTTGTTAAGGTAATGTCTTTGTCTCTTTATAATACAAAGTGCATTCTTTCCGGATCTCCCTGTCTCTCTAACTTTTCCTCCTCCATCTACACACATTCATCTCCATACGTAACTGCTTGTGCACATTCCACAAATGTGTGGAAAAGTAAAATCTAGGTTTGCCATAAAACATAGTGGTGTCAGAAGCATAAGAATTCCACACTTTGGTAAAGATAATGTGAGGGTCGGACTGAATAATATAAAATTAAATAAATAAGCTCAATTTAAATTAAATATATTTATTAAAATTAGACAAAGAAAAGATCCATTTTTCTAAATTTTACTAAAAAGGATGTACACATTTCCCTCCCATGGAGCCGTTTTTTTGTGGGTAGCCTGAGGTAGGACAAAATCTTACCTCTTTTTGATAGGCAACAGTTTGGTGAGAACTGCCCACTGGTCAGTGGATGGCTTGTTTATGTTTTGCTATCCCAGAAAGTTGGGATTCTTTTGTCAGGTCGAGTGGAGAGGTAAAGAGGGGTCATTGGTAAGACGTTGGCGATACTCGAATTAAAAACACTAGTTAACAACAAAACAAGAATTTATTGGACATAACTTAGATAATCTAGCTACATAGAAGTTATTGCGGATGTACTGCGCCGAGAGAGAGTTTACAATAATGGGTATCATACCTCTACGAGTTGGGATCGGAGTGTCAGACATTTTCTAAACGGATCAGACAAGTTGTCTTGGGGCACAAATGGCGTTGATGAGGGTCGGTACAGGTCCTCAGCGATAACAGTCAGTGAAGACAATGCCAGGTTAGAGGATAAGTGGCGATGAGGGCTCCCTTTCGTGAACGGTGATGATGTGGTGGTGTGGAGGACAAAAGAAGGATGACAAAGAAGTAACCATAAAATTAAACAGGATATTTATTCAACTACAGCTACTTAGTCCTTCGTACACCTGGTTCGTTTACACTAAACGCACTTGATCCAAAACTATAGTACGTGCACAAGTTCGAATCCGTCCGACAAAATTCTATATTTTCACAAATAGAACACGTGCTCGCGACAATAAAAGGATTATGGTTTAAGATACTACAACTACTTAAATCTACCTTAATCTAGCTTATATGCTAAGGAAGAAGGGTGAAGAAATTAAGAGATACGAAGAGAAGAGACAAGTATAAAGGACAGATTTTGTGGGGGTACCCGGGTAAACTTGGGTGTCTCCGATCTTCTCTATATCGGTACTTGAATCAATTTTCCTCCTCTCGTTTCCGTCTCTTGAGAATTCGAGAGCGTTTTCGAAGTCTTAATTTGGGTGTCCTTCTAATTTTCGTCCGTTCGCAAACCACTTCCAAGCCTTCTCTTTTACTTTGTCCCACTAGGCGACAAACCTCTAGCTTGCTCTTTCCTACGTCTGCACACCTCGGACGCTGACTCAAAAGTATCCCGTTCGTTCTCCTGATGGCCTCAGGGCTTCTTAATGCCCCCTTTGTCTTCTCCCTTTGTCCTTGGACAAAGGTTGTCCCCCACCCACAGAAAAAGAATAGGTTAGAAAGTTCTAGAAACAGACGTTAAAGACAAAGGAATTTAGGAGAAATAAAACTTATATCTACCCCTATGTACAAAAACATGGCGTACCGCCACATATGCCCCCCCTTTAGAATCAAGCACCATGGTGCAACTTGTGGTAATCGATCCTCCCCCCTCGCAGGTTATAACGAGGCTGGGGTCTCACATCATTTTCCCCCGCAGTCTTATCTCCTACTTGTTCTATACTATCTCTTCTTGCTTGAGGTGGATGCTCACGATGTGCTGCTGCTCTTGAACGGATCCATGTCGCTATTTGTTCGTCCGCTCCTTCGTCCTCTTCGTCCCTCCCTTCTCCATCTATGCTTCCCATCTTTTGGAGGTGACGACTGTTCCTTTTTGGTTCTTTATACATTGGGGAGTAGCAGTTTTTTATGCGATCTGTGTGCACAATATACCTGTCTTTCTTACAGTTACCCCCCAGCTCCACCGTAACTGGCCCTAGAATCCGAGTTATTCTGTACGGTCCCATATATTTAGGCGAAAACTTTCCTTTCCTTTTGCCTTTACGCATGAGCCAAACCCTTTGACCTTCCTTCCAGCTACTACATCCTCTATTGCCATTTATCCTTTCTCGATTCCTCCGATTTCGCCTCCTTCCCAGATCATAAGCGGTTTCCCTTATCATGTTTAATCTTTTAACAAAACCCCAATCTTGATCGCGTTCACGATCATTAGCAGAGGTTTCCATTGGGAAAGCACCGGGGAACCGAGGGTCGAACCCGTAAAGAAGGAAAGCAGGGGACTCGTTAGTGGCAGAGTGGGTGGAATTGTTATAGGCAAACATAGCCTGATTCATGAATTTGTCCCACTCCCGGTTTTCGCCTCCCGATATTCTCGCGATTATACCACATATAGTTTTGTTGAAACGTTCACACACCGAGTTGGAACAAGGTCTGTAAGCCGTAGTAATGTTGTGCTTAATTGAGAGCTCGTTGCACACCTCCTCCAGGAGTCTGGAGGTGAAATTAGCCCCCCGGTCAGATATAATTAAGTCAGGACACCCATATCTGCATATGAGGTAATCAAAGATTGCTTTAGCTATCGTGCAGGCAGATTGATCAGGTATGGGAATGGCCTCTGCATACCGCGTGAATATATCAATAATAGTAAGTATATATCTATTACCATTTTGGGACACAGGGAGAGGCCCTACTATATCTGTCGCAACCTTCTGAAAGGGAAAGTTAGAAGTTNATGTGTCTGTTAACTGGTTTCTTGTTTTAATTTTTACTAAATTCATTGCGGAAAAACTATTCACATACATAAGTTGTAGAAAATAATATTTGAATTTTTGCTGCATACTTCCTTAAGCTGGAAAATTGATATATTTATTCATATTTTACGTGACACAGGCTGCAAAAAATATTAATACAGGCTGTGGGTTGCCCATCCCTGATCTGAATTATCATAAATTTTTACTTGGAATAATTTTTTTACATCTCAGATGGTTTTGTTTGGATTTATTTTACAATTCATTTAGGATTAATAATGTTGACTTATGTACTATTTTTTAAAAGTAGGAAAAAATTTCAAATTGATTATCATTACAGTGCTGGCTCTACAGTAACTTGTGCCTGAGGCAAAACTGAGTTTTGCCACTGCTTCCAGAACACTTACCAATAGGAGAACTGTTCTAATGCTAGCACTCTTTTATGAACTATTTATAAACAACTTTAATGTAAATTTACTGTATTTGGCTTAAAATTTTCATTTTTATTTATTTCTTCTCCTTTTAAACATTTTGACCACTCATTTTGCCACCCCTCTCACTTGAAGCAGTAATGTAAGGTCGCCGACTTTAGGGGGCAATACGTTCATTGCACATCAGGAAAACCTAGGATCAAATCGTATGTGGGTGGTGGCGGTAGGAGACAAAGATGACAAGTGTCTTACACGAAAACCATTTATTTTGACATAAGGTTAACTTACAGAATGACAATAACAATGCGATCTAGATCGGCTTTGGTGGGAGCTCCTTGATGTCGACGAACGGGCGCTGACTGGGGTCCCAGGCTTGACAGGAGAGTGTCCGTTGCACAGGGCCTCTGTCCGGTGATGTTGCGGATGCACGGAGATTTTGGTCACTGGTGGAGAACCTTGTCCGGGTGGAACCGCCGAGGATTGGCTGCAAATCGGCTCCGAGAGAAGCGGCTGAGAATCTCTCTCCTTGTCCTTGAGATTCGGAGGTTTTATAAGATTTCCCCGAATCTCACCCTTTTGATTGGTCCTGTTCGCCCTCTCCCTTACCCCAATTGGTCATTCCTTTGTTTCTAGGCGAAACTTGAGACCGATCCGGGTTGGGAAAAGGTCAGAGAGGTGATGACGGGGCTTTTAATGTTCGCGCTCATAATTTTTTCCGTTATGGCTCTTCTCTCGGACATCTTTGAACTTAAACAGTCCACCAGATGTTCCTGTGGCCATTTATCCCCTACCACGTTCTTACTTAACAGATGTCCCTTTTGTTCTAAGACCCCCCTTTCTCTCGATTGCTTTGACCCTACACTTGTTCGCAGGCATCTCGACAAAGCTCTTTCTCTCTGTCGACATTCCCCCCTGTTGTTTATCATCGCGTCACGTTTGTTTTACAATTCGAAAAAGTGTTCGTCCCATCTGGGTTCTGTCATTAACACACCCTTTTTACACTTTTACGATCCTCACAGTAAACATTTTGCCTCATCCATTGAGCCTCTGCATCATTGTACTTAAAATTAATAGATTAAATTACCAAAGTAATTAATTGATGATACAGTAGTTACAATAGAGTATAATTTAAGCATTTTAATTAATTGTTCTTGTGCTAATTGAGTACTTTTTACTTTACCATTTATTTCTTAGATTAGTATAAAGCAACTAAACAGTAAGTCTGAAGTGCGAAAAGTCACAATGTTATTACTTTTTCTACAATCTTCAACTGTCCAACCTGATACTACCACCATCAATGAAGTGATTGAAGTCATTTACACATTTACTACTAATGCTGAAGGTAAATAAATATATAAATGACTAAAATTCAATTATTAGTCATTTATATATTTATTTCAATTATTTATATATTTATTCAATTATTAGGATTGTAAAATGATATAGTTATATGAAATATAGAATAAAATGTAATATAGTAGAAGCTTTGTTTATGAGTTTATATTCTGAAAAATTGCTACATATACACAAACTATACATACAGAAAGGAGTAATATTTTAAAAAATAAAGTTTGAGAATTGAAAAAAAATATATGATGAGAAAATTTAAATATTTTTTCAAATCAAATCTTTATTTATATATTGTCAGTGATGAATACAATATTTGTGTACTATATAATAATTAACATAAAAGTTTTCTAAACATTGTTAGTTAATTACATAAGAACATAAGCTTGAGTGAATTAAATATGCTGAAATAATTCCATGACAATCTTCAAATAATAATTTTTCTTATATTCTACTTAGAATAGTGAGGATACAAAACAAAAGTATAAAAATTATATAAATTATAAGAGGGAATAAAGAGTTTATAATCCTGTTTCAGGCTTATTAATCTAGTAGATCTGAAGATTATATTCTGGACTACTCTAGAATTAAAGTCTCCACAGATTATTTTGTATAGAGTCATGTGGTTTCAGTCTTGAATAGTCTTTAAAATACTTGTAAGAAATTTAGTAAAATTAGGTGGACAGTAAGTATGCCACCATAATCATTATTATTTTATCTTTCAAAACATCAGATTTAAATTTTTAACCAATATTAAAACCATTATGTACTCAGTTGCTAAATTCACATGTTTAATCTGTCTTAATTCTTTTTTGACTAGAAAATACTCTTAGATGGCCAAGATGTAATGCTTTCTGAGCCAGACTGTCAAAATGTAAAACTGACCTGTAAAAGAAACAGATTCTTTGAAAGAGTTTGTCAATCAAGTTTCTGTTAATCCAATTATGTCAAACTTAGTTGAGGACCAAAGTATTTAGTTGAGACCATTTTATTTCCTAGCCCTTGACGATTTCAATTAATAATTTTCAAATTTTCCTATGTATTATTGTGGTGTGATGGGTTAATGAGAACCATGTTTATATAAGTAATGCACCATGGACTACCACGTATTTCAAAGATACAATAATGGTGTCTATTTATTTCCAGTCGACTCAAATTACAAATCTCAAAACTGTCCGTAATACTACACTTTACTTTTTTACAATATAGAGTTTGAACTGTTTACTTTTCCTCATTAACAATGCTCGTAGATCTAATCACATGTGCGAGTTCCAAAACAGGCTAGTTCTTAATTTGTTTCAATCTTCTTATATTACTAATTAAAATTAACTTATATTAAACTAAAACTAATATTACTTATGTTAGTGAAAGAAAGATAGGAAGATTATATTAGAAGGGAATTCCTTTTCTTTGTCTAGGGAATTGGGCAATTTTTGATGTCTATCTCAGTTAATTGAGAGGATACAATATGATCATGTGGGCATCTTTCAACAAGACAAAATATCCATATACCAATCCTTCTCTGTATCTTGATGGTACCAGTTCTTTAACAAAAAATTCTCTAAATCACTGTTGACTAAGCCTTCCTTGTGTTCCTCCCTCGTCATCACCTCCGTGTCTTCTCCTCACCCTTGTCCTCCTACACTGTGACGTAGGCCAATAAAGAAAAATCCCTCAAGCCCAAAACTCGCCAGAAAATGCACATAGGTTGGAAGAGTCTAGCATGAACAGGGATACACCACATTATATTTAGAAGTAAATTTATTTATTATCTTTGTTTAAATTTAAGAATTTTAATCAAGATTATAGTAATGAGAAATATAAGAAGTTCTCTGTATTTACCAAATTATCTATACTAAAACTATATGTTAATTTTTTCCTTTGTAGAAGAGATTCCTTTGTAATCATCCCATAATATTACTGTTAATTCCTGATTTTTGCTGCAAAATAATAAGAAATTAAATAAGATTTTTTTTTTCTGTGATCCTTTCATAAGTTCCACTGAAGTTTGCATATCTTGTCAAAGATCTAAAGGATTATTGTTTTTTGTTTGAATGAATGAGGAATTAAACTGATATCTAAAACATGAAACTCTGAACATTATTTGCCATATTTCTGCTTTTTCATTTCTTAATTGAAAGATTTCAATTGTATCATCATCTTCCACATCCTCAATTTTCAATAGACCTTCCATTAAATCTATTATAACCTTTACTAGATGATCCTGAAATTTGGGACAATTAAATAACATAATTATATTTTGATTATCAGTGTTAATCAATGTATTCCATTTAAATTTCATAAGTATTTTTTTCTAGTTGCAGTTTTTTAACTATTTTCTCTAGTAGATATGTACCAATTAATTGTTTGATAATTGTTAATAGTACTAATTGACTCTTCTGCATGATGATTAGTTCTGTAATAATCAAAACAATTGGTAAATAATTGTTCCATTAGAAAAACATTATTACTTTATAAATTAAACATTATTAAATTAATATTAAAAAGTAACAATGTTTAAAGAAACAGTAACTATTAATAATGATAATTTAGGATAATTATGACAACACATCCAGTTGTATTAGAAGCTGCTAGCTTTTCATATATTTATTTTTAGTCTGCAATTTTTATTCAAATTGAAAATGATCTATTATAATATTAATAAATTTTTAGAATTACAGGTAACCCCCGTATAACACGGTAGTTATGTTCCAAAAAATTGCCGTGTTATGCGAATCCGTGTTATACAAAACAAAGAACTAATACGAAAAGGAGGGTTAGGTTCCAAAAATTAAAAAACATGCTAGTATATTTTCAAAATTAAGATAAATATCTTCATAAAAATTTTTTTAAGTGATACATATTAACATAAATTAAACAATGTTTTCTTCGTCATCACTAAAAACACTATTAATTAACCGAGAGCGTTTTCTTTTTGGCAAGTTATCCTTATCCTCTGAGCATTTTTCTGCATTATCTTCAGATCCATGCTTTACCTTTTGCAAAATGTATGTAATTTTAGATTGCTTGCTTCTAGTTAAAAGGTCTTTATAAATTTCCTTATATGGTGCTAAGCACTTATGAAGAATAAAGCAAGTATGGAATAAGGGAAAAACATTCGGCAACATCAGAAGCAGAAGCGTCGCGATCTGGCAACATTGAAACAAGTTTCGAGAAGGACCACGTGTATCGACAGAAGGCGAGAAGAGAAAATTTACATACTTAAGTACTAATAGTTCACGAAAATAATAATTTTCGTGAACTATTATTACTTAAGTATGTAAAAATTTATTACATTTCCTGTTGTACGAGGGTTTTACCCAATTCTCGAACCGTGTCAGAGTGAATCCGTGCTATAAAAGTACCGTGTTATACGGGGGATGGTACCAATTCTCGAACCGTGTTAGAGCGAATCCGTGCTATAGAAGTGCCGTGTTATACGGGGGTTACCTGTATATACTTTATTCCTTATTCCTTAAAATAAACCTCAATCTCATTCATAGCGAATTATCATATATGATCAATTAATTTTTAATGCCATCTGCTGTTTTTGAAAGGAATTTTTTGTTTTTAAACAAGTAGATTGTTATTACATTGCCAATTATTTCATATTATTTTGTTAACTACATTGCACTTGAAGGAATATCTGATGTGTGGAAGTAATTATGACATAAGTCAATTAATTTATTAGTTAATAATGGCAAATGCAACCACTAGAAATAGTTATTGCACCTAATTTGCTCAGAATGGTATCAGTATAGAAACACAAAGAAATTATTGTATATAATCCATGTTCCATGTTAAAAAAAATAACAAAACAGTATTTTAAGTTAATTTCAAGAAACTTAGAAATAATATAATCAAAATTATCATGTTAAAAGTTATTAACAAATTATCATAATACCTTATTCACATGAAATTGTTCTGGGTTTGGTTTGGTTTTCAATTGGACACTAGATACTCCTAGTTATTACAGATAAGCTAAGTTGGTTAGATTGATCATCTGAAATAGGAGGTGACCTGCTGGAGGCAATAACAAAGCACAGGAAGAGAGAAAAAATAACACCCCTTTAATTTGTGTTCCGTGTAACCAATTGACAGAGTTGTTATTTATATGCCAGTTGCATCAGTTTTAAGTCAATTACATAACCAATCATTCACTTCTCCTTCTTAGTATCTTACATATCAAGCAAGCAGGCCATTAAAACATAATATGGACAGGATGCTAACTAAGCAAAAGGGATCCTAATGTCTTTTTATTATGTGAATATATAAAAACACTAATTCCTTTTTCATTTCTGTGTAGCAATCATGCTGCTGTGTTTACTAGCTAAAATTTGCTCTTTTGTAGAATTCTGATTATAGTATATATGAAACACAGAAAATTTGAAATGTTAATTATAATACTTTTAAATAAAATTAAACTATAATCTGAATTAATTTTTGTCAAAGAAAAATAAAATATTTTGTTATATTTATTAACATTTATAATTTTTCAGGAATATTTCTGTTGAATAAAACTATTGTTTTGAAGCGAGTAAGTATATTATAAATCATTTATTTATTTTGAAAACTTTAAATAATATTTTATGTTAAAATATTATATATTAAGTATATCATGTGTAGTATCATCTATCAGCTCTAGATTTTTTTGACACTCCAAACAAACAAAGTCATTTGTAACTCTATATTTTTAAAAATTGGCCTATAAAAATACAATTTATTTATTTTTAAATACAGTATATGAGTAGAATTCTTAAATTTTAATTATAATTTCTTTATCTTTTGTAGAATTGTTTTTTGAAAATTATTCCTCAAGCTACTCCTGATCATGCATTATCCTAAATATCTTTAACAATATAACAAAATGTATTGATTTTATCGTAGTTAAAACTCATCTTCAGCAATTCAAATATTCACAGATTAATAAAGTTATGATTTATATCATTTGTTAAATTCTTACAAAATAGGATCTAGTTTGAGTATTTAAAAAATATTATTTTATTTGAAATTATTTTGTACTGGTACTTGCTATAGGCTGAACCTATAGCAAGTACTGTACATAAATACTTTATTGCAGATATTAATTATAATATCTTTTTAATTTGATTGTAAACTCATAACAGCATTAGTTTTTTTTGAAAACACATATTGTAGTTAATTAGAATTTTTAAATATTTTGACTTATTAAAGTTTAAAAATAAAATAAATTTTAAAACACTTACACTTATAATAAATTTTAAACAGGAAATCAGCAGTAAGAAAAAGAAATATAATTCACAAAAAATGATTTATATAAAAAGTGAATAAAATTAGTTTGGAAATTAAAATAAAGCCACAAATATTTTTTTTGATTGAATTTATTACAGTATATTCAATATTAACTATTTTTGCAAAAATAACACTTGAAATTATTTGAAATGTGAAAGGACATCATTATTTTGACTAACTAGTTTTTTGGACATTTACATTAATTTATATTAAAAAACTTGTTGATATTAAATATTAGCTTCTCTGGAATTTTATGCTGATTTTTTTTTCAGCTATTCAAAATTGAGCAAAAATCTTAATTTGTAATAAATCTTTAATTAAAAATATATTGTTTTTATTTTTCTGCATCTTACACATTAAGACTGTAGGAAAATGAGGACAATATATTTTTGATTAATGCTTAATTTCCTTGCAATAAAATCCAGAAGGGTTAAATTATTATTTTTTAAAATTTGATTTAGTTTTGAATTATTATGAATAATATTTTGAATTTTTACATTGGTCAAATATTTTTTATTTGAACAAAAAAAAGAGAAAGCAAGCTCTGGAAAAACCATAAATAATTTAAAATTTTCTATTTAAATTCTGTTAGTTTTGTCTTGTAATTTTTTGTGATGTGTTGCATATACTTTTGATAAAAAGTAAAACAGGAATTATAACAGTGATATTAAATACTAAAATAGTTCATAAAAGCAGTTAAAATACAATCATTTAAAAGAATTATATAATCATTGAAAAGAAATAGATTTCCCTCTTTTGAAATACAAAAAATTGCAATGCATTTGTAGTATATTTTAATAAACAATATACAGGTTGGCCATAATTAAAGTTTTCCTATTCAGAGCACTCTGTAGCTGTAACCCATAAGTGGATTAATACAAAAATTTGTACACAGACTATGTGAAGGACATGGAAGACGGTTTGCAAAAAAAAATTTAATTCAAAAACTTCTGTTGGAGGTTCTTTACAGAAAAATGCATGAAGTAAAACAACAAAAAATGCAATGAAAATGCATTTATTTGTTCTACAAGAGACTTGCCTTCTGCAAAGGCTGTTTATCAATGTAAGGAATGTTGCTCAGTTTCTACCCCATCATTCAGGCTAAATTTAAAAGTGATGAACAGACAATTAACAGTCAACTTTATTTGTAATATTTAAAATAACTGGTTAAAATGTTGCATTAAGGTTGTTGTTTATTATTTACCGTGTCCTGTTTTATGTATTTTCTTGTGCCTTCTAGAAGAAGTTTGTGAACTAAATTATTTTTGCAAAATACTTTTTCAAGGACACCTTGTTCTTTGCCGTGGTGTCCCATGAGGCTATGTCCCTCATTGGGGTGTTTCCCACAAGGCTCCACCTTCGTCCTTTGCTGATGTAGCCTCTGAAAGTTATAGACCTTTGTTGAGAGAAACTTTGGACATTTCGATCTGCAATAATCGGACATTGTTTTCTGTTCATCAACCAGACTTAGAATGCAACATCTGGTCAGTGAATTGAAACCACCTTTGTCACTGGACTTTCCTCTTCTTTGAAGACTATGAGCTGAAGTATACAAGGACTGAAACCCTTCGTGACTATGAACTTTTTGTAAGTTAAATTGTCTAATAAACGAGTTGTGTTGTTTGTAAACAAGGCATCGATCTTTGACTCAATGTTTCCACATGTTGTGGACTGCTCGGCAGTCCAGACGGCAATGGAGATGATGATAATATCACATATAATCATTATTTTTTGTTTTGAAATCTTCCTCCCTCAGTCCCCTCACTTTATGGTTAGCAACTTCAATTACAATCTATCCAACACTGATAACTTTTTAAATATTAATAGTAGATCAGTATTAATTAGTAGTTTATGACCATCCTCTCTTCTGGGAAGATGGTCATCAACTATTAAAGTAGGTCAATGACTACTTTTAGTCAAATTACTGTAATCTCCTTCCACAACACTCCCTTCTTCCTATTGGACCTAGCAGTACAATGGTATTTGAATAGGAAAATTACATAATACAAGGTTACCAGCCTGCACAAAATATGTTTTAAGTGGTTTCTTTGTCTGCTTTTTGCAAAATTTGATTTATTGCAGATTACCATTTGATATTTGGCTGTGTACAGCTTATACAGTTTGTTAGAGCTAACATTAGAAAAAATGCTGTCTACTTGACCAATGAAACTGTACCATTTTGTACAGAGTATTGTGATAAACATGACAATAGTAGGCTAAACTAACCAAACTCTATATGGTTTTTGTTGTAATGTTTGTTATATTATAGTTTTGATTTATATAACTAAGAAGGTTATCTTACTATAAGGGTTTATCACACCAAGTGACCAATCTAACACATTTTAAAAATTCTTTGTTGTTATTTTTTGCTTGGGCAATGCCAGCTCATCTGCTAGTATTTTTTATATTTTATTCATTGTTTTCAATCATTTTATTTACTTTTAAGTTTAATTTTAATAGGGATACATTTTTCAAATTGCCTTTGGTTTGTCTCCCTGTTCTCATCAAGATGATGCCTCCAGAGCATTGATATGTGCCAATAAAATCATGAATTTTATGAAAACAACTTCAAGGTTAGTAATCATAGAAAAGTAAGGACAGTAAAGATAAAAGATGATATTTCAGCAGTCAATATTTGCTATTTCAGAAAATGCTCAATTTCTATTGCTACAAACGTTGCTTTTTGTGGAACTATTGGAAATCAATTTCGCCAAGAATATTCAGGTTTGAAATCTAACTTTCTGAAATACAAAATTACTGAAATATATCTGATAAGTGTAATTATTAAAGTTAAATACCATTAATAATAGAAATTTTTATAAAGTTAATTAAAAATACAGTTGACCCCGCTATAACACGGGTTCCTATAGTTCAGATTCGTATATCATGGTAAAAAAATTGCAACAGTATTCGTACAAACATGCTAAAACTTATATAATTCGGTAAAACGTCATCACTGACTCGTGTCGCGACAGGATTGGTCAAATCTAGACCAATAGTGGATATTACACAAACTGTTGAGTTTAAATGAGCAGCAGACCTACTAAAAACCATTTATTATTTAACGTCCATAAAAATTATATTTATATTAATGATGTCTCCAAAGTTCAGTGAATTTTTCACAAAAAAAAAATAATTTATCAGGAAGCACGCAAGCGCCATTCGATGACAAGCTCCACGACGAAAACAAACTTAAGCAATGGCATAGTCGAACGGTGCACGCTCGATTAGTAATCCTACAATTTTTTGTTTATAGCATAGTTTATATGGATTATTCCCAAAAAATTATATGTATTTTGGAAATGTTGAGTCGAATTAGTCTAGAATCGATTAATTTTATGGAAGAAACCTTTCAAACAGCCGTAGTCCGTAAACTGCATACGTGCCGGGCTGTGATTGGCTGGACTCGTAGAAAATGGATTCATAAAAACC